GTGTGTGTGTGTGTATATATGTATATATATATATATATATATATATATATATATATATATATATATTAAGCTCAAAATCAGAAAAGTAACTCAATTCTTGCATTAGTCATTTTTAATAATAAAAATTTATTGTACTTGAACAAAACATAAAATATAAAGTCTTCATTCCTACTATAACTAGGATCTGGGATTGAATCTAGCTTACCTTATGTTTTATATCCTTCCATGCAAACTTGTGCTAGAAATGGGGTAAGAAATCTATAATCCCATTGGAAATCTTCAAAAATGTTGGTGGTTAGTTCTAGTCTTGCATTGAATCATGTCTTATCCTAATCTAAACTTTTTGTACACCAACAAAAAAAAATTGTTATGTTTTACATAATTTATTAAATTTTATTACTATTATTATTTATTATTATTATTTAGTTTTTTTACATTATATGCTATGCTTATTTAAAAACTATAAATAACTTATGAGTGTAGATAATTTAATTTTTTTAAAATATAAGTGCAACATAGTTAAGGTATTATCTAAAATAAATACACAAGGCTTTTTTAAATTTAAATTTAATTTATAAAATATAATTTTTAATAATTTTCTTTTGCCTAACTTTTCTATTTGTTAAAGATGGTTTTAAAAAATCATTATTTTAAATTGAAAATAGATACTGACCACATAATTGGTGCAATTTTGAAATGAGACAAATGCAATATGCTTCTCTTTGTCTTCTTTGACTCTTCTGCTTTTCATCTTTGTTTCTTCTTGTAAACCCTAGATAAACTACAACTCCACTCTTCACACACCCTTACGCTAGGGAAGTGTCTGTTGGCAATGGAGGTTGTTGGTGGGAGTGGATCTTCGACATCTACAAGATGCAATGGCAAAGGGGTCGAGAATGGGAGAGAAGATAGGGTCGTGCAGCGAAAGGGAGTGTTTCTCGAACAGGGGCACCATTTCACACCGCTCCAGCTGTGACATTAAAATGCATCATGACAGTGTTACAGTAGCGGCTCCATGCCGCTCCATTGCTATAGCAGTCGCTCGGCCGCTATTGACAACTATGGTTGATAACAACTATCTATATTCCCACCAGACATCAATTACCAAGCATGTTAACTAAGGGCTGTCTGCCAGACAGTTTCATTAGCTAACTTGCAATCTGAGAATGATTAACATTCATTCACCAACTTGAGGAGTGTCCTAAATATGTAGTTAATTTTTTATTACAAAATATTTTCCTTGTAATTAGCAGTAATTTAGGACAGAGATTGATTACCTGAAATTATTAGGATATTTTATTTCCCTATTTCTTGCCTTCTTGATTATCATTGACCTATATAAGTAGATTCAAGATTGTATTTCTAATGAAGCAATAATATCAAGATTATTCCCCATTAATGTTTCCTTTTCAACTATCTGTAGTTGAAATATTGGCCAGCAATCAAATGTCAAACAGGCCTGATCAACTACAGCATGTTTTATGTATGGTTAAAAGATAAAATAGTTGAGACAAATTAGACTAGGGGAAAAAAGGAGTAGACTAGGGGAACAAAGGAGCAACCAATGGCCAGATGAAATAATTGATAGATCACATGTTCATTTAGCTAGTTTGGTATTAACTTACCTCCAGCAGAAGATTATCAGAACCTTCAGATTCCTTAGACAGTGTAAATAATCTGATCCTCATTAAATCGTATATATAAAGCAGATAGTGTGTATCTTCTCTGCCATATCTATCATCAGAATAATAATTCATTAGATTGTAGTAATAATACAAATCACAAGGACAACATACAAGTCATTATCACCTAAGATCTTAAAACGCACACATAGGAAGAAAGATCGAGAAGGTTAAAAGTAAATATAGAAAGGAGGAAGAACGGAAAAAATGAATTAGTACACTCAATTCCAAAATATACGCAGAGTATCCAAGTATATCAGCAACTTATAACAGTGAAACCCTACTAGCACTAAGAAACAGCCAACTTGGTATCCAAATAATCCCAACCTCAAACATAAACTATCATTTACTAAATATCTTAAGTTTCCAGAAAAAACCACTAAGCTACCAATTAAAAATTGAAAACTCTATTTAATAGTTTTATCCATAGTTGTCAACCCCAAATAGTGGAGCAGCCGACACCAAAAGTGGGATAACGTGATGACCGCTATTCTAATATTAAATATATATATATATATATAAATATATAAAAATGTTAAAATAATTAATAATATATATATATAAACAGAAAATAAGTCCATTTATGCATTAATTACTTTCAATAATAAAAATTCATAGTACTTAAACAAAACATAAAATAGAAAGTTAAGGAAACAATATGCTTAAAGTCTTATATTAAAATTTTTGGAACTTCAAATGTTCTCTGAACTACAATAATTAAAATAAAGAAAAGTAAAAATAAAATTTATCCAAATTAGACCCATCAAACCAAACCAAATTTTTTTTTAAAAAAATTAAAAAAAAACATTTGGAGCCATTGGCCCAATTCTCCCAACCCTAATTTGTATGTATATTGTAACCCTAAGACCCCATCAACTAGCCACTCTACTGCCGATCTCCCTCATTAGAAGATTCAATTGTCAAAGTCATCAAAGAAGAGGATGAAGCCGCTAGAGATGAAGACATGAGATCCACCAAAGAAAGATAGAGTCGTCAGAGAAGAAACCGCTTCGCATCAAGCTTTTTGTAGTGGCACTAAGCCGCTCCACTCTGCTCCGATCGCCATTGGTAACTACGATTTTATCCCACTGGGTGAGGTTAGCTACAGATTGCATAACCTTATTAGGCTTAATTAAAACCTGAATTTTTAAGGTATCATTCATCATAAGACCCCTTTTAATATTTCCTCCAAATCTTTCTCACAATCACATGGCTAACAAAAAACATGTGATTTACTCTCCTCATTGGAGCCTCCAATGACCTTATTTGCATGTTTCCAAACTCCAAGCCACATTAATCAATGTTCTATCATCTTTTCCTCAATACGTGTCATGCCAATAACTACTCAATCTTTGAATACAATCATTCCACATTTCATCCTTCTTGTGCCGCAACAGAAAACTTGATGCAAGGCATTTTACTAGAGCAATGGGAGCTGGCGCAAAAGTTGCAGACAGGGTGGCATGATCGTGAGTTAAGGTGACAAGTTTGGAGCAGTCTCGAAAGATTTAAAATACCCTCACTTAATGAGGGTATTTTTGTCTTTCCATTCAAATGCTTTCTTTCTTTTTCTCTTATTTTCGACTTATGTGTGTCGACTTGGGCCAGTCCTCACCAACCTTGTGCCCAAAGTCCCTAACATCTCCTTACTTCTCTCGACAGGCTGCGACTATGTCTTCTTTTTCGATGGATCTCCTGTCTTCTTTGACAGCTTTGTCTTCTTCGACGACTCTATTAATCTTCTAATGGGGGAGGGGACAAAGTGCCTGGCTGATGGGGTCTTAGGGATACAATAAACAAATTAGGGTTGGGAAAATTGGGCCAATGGGCCCAAATGTTTTTATCTTTATTTTCTCTTTTTTGGTTTGGTTTGATGGGATTAATTTAGTTAAATTTTATTTTTACTTCCCTTTATTTTTAATTATTATAGTTTAGAGAACATTTTAAGTAACAAAAAATTTAATATAAGACTTTAAGCATTTTGTTTCCTTAACTTTCAATTTTATGTTTCACTTAAGTACCATGAATTTTTATTATTGAAAATAATTAATGATAAATTGAGTTATTTTTCTATTTTTATATATATTATAAATTATTAATTAATTACTTAATATATATAATATTAGAATAGAGGTCATCCTGCTATCCCACTTTTGAGGTCGGGCACTATCTAGGATTGACAACTATGATATTTACTACCATAAAATATAGATTGTAGTATAATAATAAGATAAAACTTTCTTTAAAGCTTGGTAGGTACATCGCTATCACAAAGAGAATGCTAGGGATAATCTTTTGTATGTCCTTTGTAAGCACGTCCAAGACATTAAACAAGTAAAAACTCAAGGTTGTAAACCTAGCTAGCATAAATCCAAATTGATTCCATGTAGTCCCAATCTCTTCTCTTAATCTATGTTCAATCACCTTTCATGAGTCTTATCCCTCTATAATTTACAGTTACACAATTCTGAATATCCCCCTTTTCTATAAATACAAATATATATAATCCTAACACGCATTTCCCACATCCCATTATTTCTTTGTCCATCATGATACCTTCATTGTTAGTAAGCAGCAAAGTAGTTGTATGTAAAATTCAGAGTACATTTGAATGATACTTCTAGTCATATCTTTTCAAAAAAATGAAGCCCAAATGAATGACACCTTCAGTCAGCTCATTGGTGCATTGAGTCCTTGAATTTTGGGGTGGTAACTTGATAGGAACCCAAATTAAAGAGAAACAGAAAGTGTATTATTTATTGGAAAATTAGATGTATTACAGGAGAAAAGACCCCTGTAACCCCAGAGCTATTGCTCCTAAGAGAAGAGATGATTCTCTTTGTGCCCAACCTCTCTAAAGTTCTAACTAAAAATATACCGAAACCCTTCCACCTACCTATGTCCACTCCTTATATAATTGTTGCATCCTCTAACTAACTTGGCCACATCAGCAATTATAACTAATTCTCTATTCAGCCCACATGTTGGGCTTAGGCCCAAACCAAGTATCCTATTTATTATAACTACCAACTAAAAGCTTCATTATGAAACTTATGCCCACATGATCATGACCGAATTGGCTTAAAATAAATGCCAAACTCTTATTCCAAGGTGAACTACAGATAAACCCCAGCTGAGTACAAGGAACATGACAACTTATAAGACCCATCTCCAGAAACCTGGACCACATACCTTGTGTTTATTATAGATATTATAATAATACACATCCAAAAACCAGCACTACTGAAAAAATAGAAGGCAAGCTGAAAACTAAAGCACGTGCAGAATCAAGAATGGATAAAGTGTGATAATTATAAAACACAGTTGCACCTTAGCATCACTTCAGGAAGAGGGCGTATTCTCCAATCTGCATTTTGGTATCTGCAAGGAGTTGACTTGTCAACCTTCCACAATGTTGGTAAGAATAAAAGGAATAGTTATTCAATAGGAAATGATAAAGCTTCTGTGTTAAGACACTGGAAAAGGGGGTAATTCCAAAAGGTAAAAACAGCATACTCTTTGTTTGCAGTAACCCCACAAAAGTGTTGCAAAAGATATTGCAGACTATATCTCTCCATCTTTAACACTCTTGAAGCCTGAGCAACAAAATTAAATATATATTAGTCTTGCTTGACAAAAAGAAGAGCAGCTTATAGAATGAATTCTCACTATGTGATCAAGGAACATGAATTATGACAACAATAATCAAAAGCAATAGAACTTTAAAGCTTATTTTTTATTCATATCATAATGTCATAGAACAGATCAACACATGCATGCATGAAAATTGAGCACTGAAATATTTTATTCAGGGTTATGCCAAATTTTGATCTTGCAAATATGAGTGTAGCATGAGTTTAATATAAAATCCTGGAAATATGTCTCAGAATATTCATATAAATGGCCATTTCAAAAGAAACTCTACAATCAGGTGAAGAAACTCATAGTCATTAGACCAGACAAGTAGAAAAGGCTCAAACAAAAGCAAAGCTGACATAGATCGCATGACAGGGGGCTTATTGCCAGCATTTTTCTTCAAGCTGCAGCAAAACAATCATATCTTATTACTCTAAGGCAGCAAATTCATCCAACATTAAACACAACCCAACACTCATTATTTTATGAAGCTAATTCTTCTTGGATGACAATTTGAAGAAATAAATTAAAAATAAAATAACCACAGATAGCTGGTATATATAAAAACAATTCATGTTATTTCACCCAATAATTAAGCTTTTGGGATGAATTTACATGACAAATTCATCTGTAAAACAAATACTAGTTCAGCAAATATTTATTGCATGCCCTCTACATGCAGAGCCAGAATCAACTGCCCATAAGTAAAGAAACAATGTGGTAACAATTATATAACTCATTGTACAATTTCATTTACTTGATAAAACTAATAAGGGGAGTAATTTCAATTTGAACATCCTGAGCTTTACAAACAAACCTGGCCAGTATCAAACATATTACAAACGTAAATGCCAAAATCCCGTTGCAGCCACACAATGTCTCGATCTGCTCCATGCAGAACCTACTTAACCATAATTACAGTCAACAAAAAGAAGCAAGTCTGATGAATTACAGAAACATCAATCATGTGCATCTGACCTTCTTCTTGGTAGGGTCCTTGAAAACTTCCCTCAGGTATGGCCCAACATGATTGCGGACCTTCAGAGTATCTATAATAAAATCTTCATTCCTAGTTGAGATTTGCATCAAGCAAGTCAAACCTTGGAAAGACCGATATTGATTATGTTCCAAATCCACCTAAAAATTCCAAGTCAAGATAAAATGACAACAGAATACAATGAAAGAAATGTAGATATCTGAATACGAAGTAATGCATCAAGGTTTGTGCAGCTTAAAAACAAGATACAAAGTGAATGCACAAATTTTGATTATGTATTACAAATCATTGCAGATGCACATATTAGAGATGAAAATATGGTTCTGCTAATGAATAATAATCCGAAACAAGCTCTAAATTAAGTGTACAATCAACCCACATAAACAAGAATCTAGTAGTATAAATGAAGGAAGCTTTTAGTAAAACATAATGAATACCGCAAATTCATTAACCGAAGATAGCTTAGCAGCCAACTCCTTCAATCCTTTGACATCCTCCACAAACTTGAAAGGGGTGCATTCCATTGAGGGAGGCTTTACTGGCACAAGATTCTCAAGATTTTCTTTATCAACAAAATCCAAAGCCGAGAGTTTCTCCTGAAATATAAATTAATTATTATAGAATATAATCAAGAAACAATAGATCAAGAATTATGCTTTTCGTTTTGCTATGAATTTTCTTTCACATGGATTGGGTACAAATCCAGTCAGACTAATATAATTAAAGAAAAAAAAAATCATCAGTGGCTAAAATAGCACATGTGGAAATGTAATAAAATGAATGAGACATGTCTAGCACAATTTATGAATTGGTTTTCGAGCAAAAGAACATTAATCCAGAATTAAAAATCCAACTGAACCCAAAGAAGAAAACATTAGAAAAATTATGAAATATTTTTGTTAGCACATACATGGTGTGTGTTTGATAAAACTAGCTTATAAGTTAACTGAAAGCTTATAAGCTAAGAGGTTGAATTGAAAGTGCTTGCTAAAATTAGCTGACAAGCTAACTCATAAATATAAAAAAGACATAAAAGGATATATATATATATATATATATATATATATATATATATAAAATTAGGACAATAATTTTAATATTTTTATTATAAAGGAATAGTGAAAATTTGATGTTTTTACCTGATCATTCTCAATTTGGCAGTCTATAAGTTTTGAAAGTAAAAGATTATTGGGAAAAACTCAAGTCTCACATCGACTAGAGATTAGGCAATTGAATAGTATATAAGTGAAAAGCAACCCTCACCTTACAAGCCAGTTTTGTAGGGTTGAGTTAGGCTTCAATCCACTATTCTAATATGGTATCAGAGCTATCCTAGATTCTTAAAAATGGGCCACCCACCATTTATCCACGTACCAAGCCCAATAGTGCTGGACGTGAGGGGATGTATTGGGAAAAACCCAAGTCCCGCCAATCCTAGATCATTAAAAGGGCCACCCACCATTTATCCACGTACCAAACCCAATAGTGCTGGACGTGAGGGGGTGTATTGGGAAAAACCCAAGTCTCACATCGACAAGAAATTAGGCAATTGAATAGTATATAAGTAAAAAGCAACCCTCACCTTACAAGCCGATTTTGTAGGGTTGAGTTAGGCTTCAATCCACTATTCTAAGAAAGATGACTCTGGTTGTTTTACCATTAGTTTTATGTGATTTTTTTACAAAAAAATATATAAATTAATTTAATTAACTTATAATGAGAGAGAGAGAGAATGACAGGATAGGCAAAAAGATTTCTAAATTAAAAAATGTAAAAAAGAATTTTAAGTAAATTAAAAGGATAACAAAAAAAAACTAGGAACTTATGAAAATAAGCTATAAGCTAAAATATTGTCCCATTTGAAAGAACTAATAAACAACTTATTTGAATTTATCTTATGTTATAAGTGTTTATGAGTGTTTGGGAGAGCTTATAAAATACCTGTCAATAAAATGTTTTTAACTTATTTTCATAAGTTCTCCAAGATAGCGTATAGGAATAGCTTATGCAAAGCATATAAAAATGCCCAAATCCTAGCAAGGCCAAATATAAAGAATATACTTGATTTTTATTTTTACTTTTCTTTCCTAAATTATTATATTTTCCATTTCTTCAACTAATTCAATATAAATACTAGCTTCTGTAGTGTACAAAAGAATTATAATTATTTGTTGCTAGTAATTTATTTTTATTTTTAATATTTTCTTCTTTTTCACTTAGAAATATAATTTAATTAAACAATTTTAAATTTTTATGTGCTGATAGTAATTTCTTTTGTGTGTTACTATTAAAAAAATATATCTTTTCTTTTACAAAATTGTGTAGTGGTTGAATTTTTGTAATGATTTACTTCTTTATATACATAGATTTATTTATATATATGGATGGTGAATATTTTAATCTTATATCATTATTTTATGATATATATATATATATATGAGTGTGTGTGTGTGATATTTTAATTTTAACACCTTAATTTATATTTTAATCATGTTTTGATCATGAAATATTCTAACTTCTAAAATTATTGATAGGTGCATGGTGAAATTTTCTGTGTCTTACTTTTTTTAATTTATGATACTTAATTTTTAAAATTAAAACTAAGAAAATAGAGAGCAGTGATTCTTATTTTTAACATTTTTGTAATAGTCAATGTTAGTATATTAATTATTTAGTTAGTTTTTATTTTTAAAAGATTTTTTTTAATTCTTAAAATGAAAAAAAAAAAATATATATATATATATATATAATAAAATAAAATTTCAGAGTTC